TACATTGTTGAATTAGAGGATTGATTATCATCAGTGTTATTTGTGTGTCTCATTTTCATTCCTTTCATCTTCAGTTATTTCAATCATCTTTTATATAAAAGAAAATAACAAAAAAAGTATTTAATTTCAATTTAATTCAAGGCATTTAGTTAGCAATTTTTCAAACTCAAATCAAAAAATCCTTTTTATAGTTTAGGTTACTTGCATTTATTTACTAGGATTTAATTTCGTTTTCGACTCCTCAAAGTGAATACGACCCAGATTGTGCACTATATTGCATTAATTCGGTTAATTTTTGGAGTAACCCCAAAACGACAATTAAGGGAAGTTCAACTTCAGGGACGTAGACAAAAGAGACGTAAATAGAAGTTAGATATTCGTCTATTCAAAAAAAGAGACAAATGTGGTGCCATATATTCATATGTTCTGGGAAAACAAACAAATATACAAAGCACACATATTCATCTACTCTGGCCAAAACAGATGGATATAGTGTCATTTTAAAAAAAAAAATTATTTGTATTGTCAGTTTTTACTATAACCCATAATTCTAAAGTATGTCAAGCAAAACCAAAACAAAACAACAATAAAAACAATTCAACAGAACCAAATCATGTTGCACTTTCCATACAAATCATTTTAAGGGTCAAAGCAAAGGACAACAATAACATCTAAATTAGTTTAATTAATAAAAAAAATTAAACACCTTAACTTAGTCATATAATACAAGAAAGTTTAAAACTAGAAAATCTAATGACATCCTAACTTATTTAAATAGATATTTTAAATTTTAGAATCCCATACTTCTCTAAAATTTAACATGGAGATTAAACATTGAGGACACTCAATTAACTATCATATTCCAACAAATTTTCTCTCCTGGATATTTTCACAAATACCTTATGTACATTGATATTTAAACAAATTTAATATGCTTTTAATCTTAATATACTTTTTCAATCATTATAATTGCTTTCCAAAAGCTATTATTCACCAACAATCAATTTAAATAGAAAATTTTTGACACCAAAATACCCAAACAATCACTTTCAACCCTCATATAATAGTCTCACATAACCAAAACATTCAACGTCAGATCACATAACTTACCTTGCTTCTTGCAAAGCTAAAGCCGTGAAAAAAGAAGCAGAGAGTATTGTCAAGCACACAAGAGAAGAGAGAGAAGCTATCTGCCATCAAGAAGAGAGGCTAGCTATGGAGTTCACTGTGTCATTAAGCTGTTGCATCACCAAGAAAGAAAAGAGAGGAGAAGCTATTGTCAACCATGAAGGAGAAGATAGAAGAACGTTGGTTGTTGCATGAGAAGAGAGGAAGACGGAGAAGAGGAAGCTTGCAGCAAAGGAGGAGAGGAGAAAAAGAGAGACTGCTATTAGGGTTCGCTCTGATCTGATGAAAAAATAGCATTGTGTTTTGGAAATTCAAAATTTAAAGCAAAAAGTTTTTTGTCTGTTACTTTGTTAGTTAGAGCATAACATACAAGTAGAGCCGGTAATATGGGCCAACCCGCCGATTATGGGTTGGCCCGTGGTGGGCCTGAAGTTTGGCGGGCTGGGCTTTTTAGGACCGCTTTCTGACGGGCTGGAATTTTTTCAACCCGCCCGCGAGGGCTAACCCGCCAACCTGCCAAATTTTGTTTTTTTGTTTTATTTTTTTTTAATAAAACCTACTCAAAGTCCCAAATTCCTAAATACCTAAAATAAACATGCAAATAGAAATTATCATATATAAAACATAGAACCCATCCAAAGTTTCAAGTTCCAAGTTTCAAATATATCAAAATATTAAACATATGATTAAATGAACATGATATGTTCTTAATAATTTAATAAACATCTCGAATTAAAACATAAATCCAAATTAACACTACCACAAAGTCACAAACACAATGTCACTACACAAATCACTATCAAGTGCTCAATCATCACTCATGAGCTAGGGCAAAGGCGCAAAGCAAAGACAAAGAGCAGAGAGCTTGGGGCTTGGGACTTGGGACTTGGGAGTTAGGACTGGTCGAGGGCGACTGGGAGACTGAGTCTGGGAGAGTTGGGAGTCTGGAAGGAGTGCGACACGCAAGCAAAATGTGAAAATGGGACCGTGTTGGTGTTGCCGTGTTAGACTATTGAACATGGACTGCTCACTGTTGCATTGTGGACTAGGCTAAGAGTGTAGAGACTAAGAGGCAAAGGGAAAAATTTGCCAAAAAAAAAAATGGTTAAACGGGTTGGCCCGCCAACCCTGCGGGTTAGCCCACCGCGGGTTTGGACTTGGCAGTTATGGGCTCAAAACTTCCATTTTAAAACGGTCCTAATTTTTATCAACCCAACCCGCCACTTATTGGCGGGTTGGTGGCGGGCTCAACCCATATTACCGGCTCTACATACAAGTATGTGTGTACATATTTGTCTGTTCTGTCATAACAGATGAGTATAGTGGCCTTTTTTCTATTTTAAAAAACCGATAAAAATGAGAGACGCAAATGATCTATTTTGTAGTAGTGAAAGTTATATAGAATCAAAAGTTGTTATGCTCAAAATGTCAAAAACAGGGTGTAATAGAGACATAATGAAGTTAAATTTTTGAGAAAAATTGGAATGTATTGTGCATAAAAAACAAATTGGAATTTGTATAAAAAAAATTCTAATTCATATTTATAAACCCATGACTAAACTTTAAGCTGTGAGAAAGAAATGAGTATATTCAAAGTTGATGCAAAAGAAGTTGAATTTTTGTGTCAAATTCAAATTTCCTTCAATAGATTCAAATTTGAAAGAAATGAGTATATTCAAAGTTGGTGTCAAAGAAGTTGAATTTCTGCGTCAAATTCAAATTTCTTTGAATAGATTCAAATTTGATGTAAGAAATTTCAAATTTTCTACATCAAATTTGCTTGAAAATAAATTTTAAAACACAAAGTATTTTTGAATGGGTCTTGTTGCATTAAAAATTAAACTTAAAGGGTTTTCCAATGATAAATCATTCAACCCATTTAAAATTAAATTAACAAATGTATGTCATCAAAAAATTCACATTTTAATTGACTTTATTTATGTTCATTCAAGTTTATAAATTGTTTGGTTGTACTTCCTTCCTTTTTTCCTTGTGAATTTAATTTTATTCCTTGTACTAACTTCTTTGTTATATTTTATTTAAATTTGTATTTAATTATTTTTTAATTATTTAACATCTATAGTTAATTTTATATTTAATATTGAATGTTTGTATTTATGTAACTTATAATATATTTTTTTAATTATTGATTATTTAATAATATTATTATTCTATAAGGTTAAAAAGTATTTTTATTTAATAATATTATATTTTTTCATTAAGGGTAACAGAATAAAATTGCACAATTTTTCAACCCATTTTTATCCCGTCAAACATAAAATTTTCTATCAGCCTATTTTCTGTTTCAGTACTAATCAAATATGTCATTATTCAAAAAAATTTCATTGCATTCTTTTCTATTTATTTCCGTTCCAATCAATTCTTTTTATCAAAAGGGCCCTTTTAAATATCAGGTGTCAATTGGCGGTCTGACTGCCACTGGCCGTCTGGCCGGGTGGCATGTGTGTGTTGGGTGCCCTGTTGTAACCACACAAAAAAAAATTGGCGGTCTGACTGCCGGACGGCTGGGTTTCCATTATTAATTGAAAAATGTTACCCCTTTCGTAATTGGGTTACATCTTCGTTTTGATATCAGTATGAAAATAATATGCTCCAAAAGTCAAGATTCCCTATTTTTTAAATTAGTTAAATGACCTCATCAATATCAAGCATAAATAATTATAAAACGAAGCTGACGGAACATAGCGCATTTTTTTGACCATACGGAACATAGCTTATTGAAGTAAGGCTATTTGGTTTACTTTGAACTGTATTAATTTAAGGGAATGGATCTGGTCCATAGGAATCTGCCAACCTTAGCTTATGGCCTGAACTTGGACATCTCAATTATCACAAGCGACAAACGCGAATCCTTCATGTTTTTACTAATTTGAGTCTTATATTAGCTTTTGTCCTTAATATAAAATATAAAAGTTAGTTAGTTAATTAAAATATATTTAAAAAATTAGTTAAGGTAGATCATTTGTGATAAATAAATATTATGTTTCCTAGAATATCATTTCTAATAATATGTACTAGCTAGAACGACCATTTAATGAAAAATTATATTTAACATGTATAATTATTATAAGAACTACTTTAAAAAAGATAAATAAATATGAGAAACAAAGTAAATTTACGTCTTCTATTTAAAACCAAATTAAATATCAAACGAGCTCTTATATTAAATACCAGAGGTAGTATCTAATTACATAAATAAAGCTCTCTTACGAATAAGACATCATAGATTTGATCATACTTGTAGTTTCATGTTGTTACAATATGTTCTTTTGAATTGGAGGAAAAGAAAAAAGGAGAATTTGATCATACTTGTAGTTTCATCTTGTTACAAAATGCGCTTTTGAATTAGGGGGGAAAAAGAAGAAGAAGAAAAATAGAGACACTACAAAAAAAAAATGACTTTCATTTTGTTACAATTTTGCTAAGACAGGTTTTATATGGAATTATAAATGACGATGTTGATTCTTAATATAGTGCACATCTAAAAATATTTTAAGAAAATTAATTTCTAATTATTACAAGGTCTCATAACCAGCTAATGGGCAACCGACAAATATTATGCACATTTTTCTATCTTTAATTTTGAGTATTCAATATATTCACAAATACACTAAAAAGCGTCAAAAACTTCGGAAAACATGCTAAAATAATATAAAATTCCAGAGGTTAACAAGAAGACCACAATTCAGGTTACTGACAGCATGAACATTTTCATTCACCCATGAAAAAATTAAGATTTCTTGAACTGAATAATTTGAGTTTAATAATTTTCCCTTTTTTTAAAATTATTTTCCTGTAAGGAACTTCGATCGAGAACCAAAGCAATATAAACCTAAACGAGAAGACAAGTCGACAAAATGGGTGTTAGCATGTGAAATAACACGTACAACAACATTTCAGATGTCTGGTGGTTAACTGTGGCTTCAGTCGAAGGTTTGAATTATTGATCACAGTCTTCTCATCCTCGTTCACACCATTGCTATTCCTCATGTATGTCTCCTGTTTCTAATATCTCAACTCTGCGATTAGTCTTCTTCTTTATCTTGATTGCCACATCCTGAGGAACGAAGCTCCCACACACTATTACCCTGCTTTGCTTCTTCTCTATCAGATGTGACTCCACTTCTATAGAGTACAGTTAATTCAACACAGGAATCATTTTGCTGCATTAGACCCAGTTACTGAAATAAGATAAAGGGTTTAATTCATTTGAAGGGCTAACCTGGAATCTCAAGAAGGGCTCTCTTTACTTTTCTATAGCAGCCATTGCAATCTACATTTATCCTCATCACCATGTACAAGTACTGCAAAAACAGAGGGCAGAACTAGAACTGGTTCAAATGTGGTTTCTGAATTTAATACAAATGGCTTTCTCAGAACTTCAGAGAGGAATTAATAATTAAGATGATGATTTGGAGCTTGCCTTCACTGTCATGAAACCAATTATCAGGGAGCTGGGACCGTGGAGAGAGATAGAGATGCTTCAAATCCCCAAGTTAGCGTTGCAAAATGGGAAGGCTAGCGTTGCCTTTAGTTGAAAAGGATTCTCCCTTCTCATCACAGAATCAAATTCTTCTTGCATATGAATTATACAAAGGCAATGATGCAGCTTAGTTGATGAACACTTTATTCTGGCCTCTTCTTTTGTGTTCTTTATGCATAGATGCCATGCAAACGAAACAAAGAGATAGTGCATGCCTTCTTTATGGAACGAGCATCTCTTCTCCTTCTACTTGTGGCTTCGCGCATTGATTCTCGTTTCTTTATGCAGACTGAATTGATTCCTTTAAGTTAAGCCAATTACATCATTATTACTAGTTAACATTGAATCCGTGTTTCAAATTTCAGATTTTGGATTCTCTGAGTCTTAAGCGGTCATGCGTTTGGATCTGGAAGAAGAAGAAGCTGGAAGACGAAAAATAAAGGTGGTGGTAGTGTAGCAACAAGTCTCATCCTCGTAAAAAAAGACTAATATTAGTTTAAATCTCAAGAAATACACTTGTTGAAAGGGTTTTAACTTTAACGCTTTTAATCTGACAGAAATTAGTCTCAAAACCAAAATAATTTGATGATATTTTGAGTTATACCCAGGAAAAAAAAAGAAAGGCGGTGGTGGTGTCCCTGTATATATGAAGGATTTGTATTGCATGCGTCTCTTCCCTCAGAAGCCATTACCTGAGAAACAAACTTATCAAAAAAATAAACTAATTATATATAATTATTAATATATAAAAAATTTGTGGTTTTTTTTTGGAGTCATCCTAACACATTTACATTAAGGAGGGAAGTGGAGCATTAATTAGGGCTATTTTAGGAAAAAGATAAATCAGGTAGTGGACATGAAATGAATTGAGCCCTGAAAAAAATCTTTAAATTGTCTTACATTTAGAACTGAAGGGCTTTTTTATTTGAACAATTTAACACCCTCGCACAGGAGAAAACCCTCACATCAATCCCCTATTTTGATAATACATATGATCTAGAATTCACAAACTCTTTTATGAGAGGAGATCTAAAGTACCACATAAGTTATAAGCTGTTCAGCCTTCAGAGAATGGAGGATATGTCTATATGACGATGGATACTTTTGATATCTGATATCTCTGCATTGAACATACGAGTCAGTTTGATGACAGATCGGAGGGATTATTAGGGGGCTGTGGATCCCATCCAATGGGTGGAGATGAGGGAAAAAAGTGCTTGTTAATTAGTAGTGTTATCACGTACTACCTCCGGTCCTAATCATAAAGCCTAGTTCACTAATTTGAGGAGATTAAGGAAGCAAGTTAAGTTAGTTATTTGTAATAAATAAGTGTTGTCATTCCTAAAATATCCTTGCTAATTAAATGTATTGGCTAGAACTATTATTATTAGAAGGACTATCTTGAAAAAAAATACATAAATTAAAAGATAAAATAGATTGGGGTCTTATAATTAAGACCAAGCAAAAAGTCAAACGGGGTCTTATATTAAGGACCGGAGGTAGTAACACTTTGCGTTGACAGTTGATACACACACGCACACATGTTGATGTGTGATATTGATAACACCATTTCTGGTCTTTAATATAAAAGCTAGTTAATTAATTTGAGTAAATTAAGAAAATTAATGAGTTAGTTATTCGTAATAAATAGGCGTTATCTTTCCTAAAATATCCTTGCTAATCATGTGTATCATATTGAACTATCATGTGTAGAAACCTTCAACATATGTAATTATTACAAGGATTATAGTGGAAAAAATGGATAAATATGAGAGATAAAATAAATAAAAATCTTATATTTAGAATGAAATTAAAAGTCAAATTAGTTTTTATATTAAGTACTGGATGTAGTATAAATAATTGACTATACCGATGTTGATATTGATGAAGTACCATAAACATGTAATATCTTGTTAGATTCCACAAAATTGAGAAAAATGAATCGAAATGCTTTTAAGGCCCACTATAATTAATATTTATTTTTATAAGAAATGAATATATGTATGTGTGCGTGTGTATTCCGGCCTATATCTTCAAATAAGTAAACTCTTTGTGGCATGCATATGAATGGGCCGGCAGGTGGCCTTCATCGCATCTATTTCATCTCATTCTACATACAAGACGCTTTAAATTTTCCCACCAAAGTTAAAGAGACGGTGAAATTATTAAAATAACTTTTCATGTAAAATAACTAGGGATGAATCTAGAATTTTACAACCGAGAGTCCAAGAATGTATTTTAGCATTTCGTTACAAGTAAAATTATTGACCCCGACAAAGTGATAGTGCTGCTATGGGGGAAATCAGCCCCTTCCTCCCTCCTTGTATTTCTGTCTCAAAATTACTAATATATATATATATATGGCCGCCAATTTAATTTATGAAGTGATTAATCGTAGAATACAAGGCTGGAGGGAATATAGCCATGTAAAGATAAAATGAATTAATATTAAAAATAAAGTAAATTATCATCAAATAATACTCTTACAAAGGTACGAACATTGGCGATCATTTCCTCGTTCCCATGTGTTCGATGTCGAGGATGTTGACGATTAATGGTCTGCGTGCATTTAAATCATACTGAATTGTCATTTTCGCGTTCACAGGTCGCGGATATTTTTCTGAAGCGCAAAGAACTTTTAAAGATCCCCAAGGCATAGACCATACAGAGTCTGCTTTTATCACCACTACTGTAGTCGGGTGGTACCATTCTACTGTCCATTGTACAAAGCCTCTTACCATTAATCTCATCACATCACAAGATGCCGTCCGTACGTTAGTTATTTCCCAAATTTTAAATTTAAGCTTACCGTTGGTTGATTACTTTTAAAAAATTGCTGAATTATTTTTAAATATTTATATTTATCTCTCTTTTTTTCCTAAATTAATATGACTTATTGTCAATTTATATATTCTAATGATGTATATAAATATTTTAGTCATATCATGTAACATATTATAATTAAATAATTTAATAACTTCATTACTTTTTTAAATTAGTTAATTAGGTTTTATATTAAGAACAGAATGTAGTAGTATTATTTATGCCTAATAATCTAATATACAATATATTTATGTGTAAAATTAAACTTATTTGTTTAAAAAGTTCATGAGTCAAAAGATTCTAAATGTATAAGTATTTTTTCTGATCACACAAAAATGTCCTCAGGTGCATGTAAAAGTTTTAAAAATTAAAGTCTTTTGCACATGACTGAAACATGGTGTACATAATTAAAAAAAGAGTTGCACTTACTTAAATTCAAGTTCCTCTCGCGGATAAAATTTTCAAACGGTTGCTTTTAACGAAATTTTGCACAAATAAAAAACATTCATATATCATAAATGGATTTATAGGAAAATTCAGTTAAAATTCTCGGGAAATACCACCTCATTGAAGTTATAGTGTACAAGTAACTTGATATTTTATAAAAGAAGCTTGCTTACACAGTGTTTGGTTTAATAAAAGCAAAAGGGTAGGGGAAGAGATGGGAAGGGAAGAGGGATTAATATTGTCTCACTAAATTTGGTTTGAAGGGGAAAGGAGGAGGATTTTAGTTATGCCTGCAAATCCCCTCGTCTTGAAGAAACAGGATAAGACTTCCTTCTCCTTTTATTTTGAGAAGCGCAGCATCTTATGTTACCAAAAGTTAGCCAAACAATTCGCAGAGCATTTGAAGTGAAATGCGCCATCTTCCGTCTCAAACACAGTTCATTATTATCTACTTTACTCTGTTTAGAGATAGTTTTTGGATGCAAATTGAAAACTTTTCCAAATTTGCTTTTGACAATTAGTGTTTCTTTGCGTTTGCTCTGTTGATTCTCAAAAATAAGCAATTGATGATGAGTAGGAACGTATGAGAAAATCAAACATCAAACATTTAACTTAAACTACAGCTTATAGGTGACAATAGTTACACATCAATATTTTCTTCCGTACATATACACATCTTCAAATTTTGGTTACTTATCAAATACTTAATTTTATGGTTTCCCGGCTTGGTGGTCAGAGCATTACACTTTGATCGCCCACTGGATTTTTTGGGCCATTGATAATCCGGTGCAGCATGTGTTAAAACAAATATGGGATTATTGAACTGGCCCATCTTTGTTTAACTCAAGTTCTAAGTTCCTTCAATTTAAAATTTAAAATCAAATAAAAAGAAAGACATCAGCGCTCCATCGAAGTCTCAAAAAAAAAAAAATCACGAATGGCACAACATCTGAATCTGATTCCTGCGCTACAAAGAACATCTCGCCAAATTTTCACACCTACCATCTACAGTCCATGTTTCTGTGGTTTCATCGTCTTCCCCAGTTTACATGTTGCCGTACTCAGTTCAATGATGCCCACCAAACCTAGCGCTACGCCCTAACCCTCCTTCCTTCACATAGCCTGCAACGACTCCGACCGCCACACCACCTCATACAAGTCCGGGTAATCCAACAACCCGTCGTCGAAGCTCACAATACCACCGCCGTTCTCGTTTTCTCCGTCTCCTAACCCTACCGACTCGTACTTCTCTATATCATTCTCAAACCCCAATAACTCCCCCATATCAACTCCGTCCGAGCCCACCTGGCTCAATTCTTCGCTCTCGGGCTTCGTATCCTCTGACGGCGTCACCGACGGCGGCAGCCCTAGCTCGTCGTCGGAAGCTTCCAAGAGGTATCCCAGCTGCACGGGGAACTCGCCGGATTCGGGTGTGGGGTCAGGAATGACGGAGCCCGGACCCGAAGCGAGGATCTCTTCCTCAAAGCTCTTGATTACGGAGTCGAGGCCCTGCATGGTAGGGTCTCGCTCGGGTAAGTTATCCGTCTCATCAAGGATATCGAGAAGGTCGTCATGGATGTCCGTAGCGACGGAGGAGTCCATGGCTGGGTCTTCCGGGTTGACATCAGAGGGGGAGTCAACTCTGGCAATCTTGGACTCGGGCGAGTGGGGTTCTGAGTCATGGCGGAGTCGCTTGCTCTTTTGGTTGGCAAGCTCCATTATGGGCTGGATTGAAAGAAAAGAAGAGTGAAGAGACAGAGAGAAGGGAAGCGCGCTTAGATGGAAGGGAAGAGAAAGGAAGAGGAAGGGGGCATATATAGTGGTGGGAAAAGGAGGGGAGTGGGGGGAGACAGAGAGGCGTCGAGTCGAGCGGGAGGCTTTAATTAAAAAAAAAAAGACTCTTCACGAAAGTCTCGTTATTTTTACTTTTTTCATGTATTATTTTTTTTTTGCCAGACTTTTTCGTGTATTAAAATATTAAAGCTCCGACAATACTTTCTTATATATAAAAAAGTTTCAGGTTAATCCTGCTGCTTCTATATTACAAAAAATTTAATGTTTATGGAAATTTCCTGAATCCTGATCATTAGAATCAGGATAGGTCGATGAGCTTATTCACTGTTACTTTAATTTGTAATGTAAAAATCTTAAATAAAATCTAACATGGAGATATAAATAGTAATAAGATATTTTTAAATATTAATATATGAAGTTTAATTTTTAATGCAATCGTAATAATTAAAAAACATAATTTAATTCTAACGATTTTAAAGTTAAGGAATAAAAAAATAAAAAACCAAATTAAAATGTCATATCAAATGAAAATACCAAATATATTATTTTAAATAATTTTTGATTATATTAAGTAAATAAATATGTAAGAAAATTTTTTTTAATAAAACGGAAAAAAATAAAATTAGCTGATTGTCGGAGCACAAACACCCCAGATATCCTTTGTGATTACCGGGAGAACTCGAGAAGAATGGATTTTTTTGGGCGTGTACTTCATTTGGTTTTTTTCTTTCTTTATTTTCCCTTTTTTTTTTTAACACCCTTTTGATGGGAGACCGGCAGCGGAAAACTAAACTAAATTTAAATGAAGATGGTGAAGTCCGCAATGGGGCCCACTAACATCGAAGAAAAGAAATGATGTGGTTTTTTGCTGCCAAATGGCTGCATTTTTGCCTTTTTAGGGGTTTATTTGGAATAGCACTGTACTACCTCCATTTTTTATTATAAAATTTAATTTTGTGAATTGGTTTTTCTTTTTCCGGCCAAAAAAATTGGTTTAATTTTATAATAAAATTCTCATCTATCTAAATAATAAATATATTTTTACCTATTTTACCCTTAATTAACATACTCTACTTATTATCTTTTTCTAATACATTCTCTCGCATTTATTCTCTTACTTATATCTATCCATTTACAAATAAGAGTATATTTAAGAAAAATGTACATTTCTAAAATATTTATTACTTCTAACTAACTTTAAATTTTTTTAATTACATAGTATAATTAAATTGGTTTTATAATAAGAGACGGAGAAGTAACTTTTTAATCATAGTTTATAAAATTTAAAATAACTGTATGAACGGAATTTTATCTCAACTTACTTTTTTTAACACCTATTATTGGGTATTTTTTGAAAGCAATTTTTGATTCTAAATATAAAACATTAACCAGCTTGTTCACTGTAATTTTTCAATTTTGCCGTTGTTGTCAATCAAGGTTCAGTGCCAATAAACGCGGAACCTCGTGCTTTTCTATCCACTGCGGTTAAATAGGAGTAAACTTGAAAAAATTTAACACTTAGACTTTTCGTCTTTAGTACATGAGAATTAATTGAAAATGCTTTATAATAAGATTCAGAAAAAGTATTTAAAAATGATTACAAGCATGAAGTTAAATTAAAGCAGATACAAACGAGTGGTATAGAAAAAAGCCTAAACCCGACAGGCAAACAATTGGGTCTGAAAAACTATTGGACAAGAAAGACGCGTAAAAATTAAAAATTAGAGTATTAAATAGTTCATCAAAATGTCGTTGTCGTTTTATTTTTTTCCTAGATATTTTCATATATTATTTCCAATAATAAAGAGTTAAAAAAATGAGCTGACAATAATTATTACTTCGTTCGAATTTTAGAGTGAGAACTATTTTAAAACAGATTCAAGACTATAAAGTATTTCTAGTAGATATTGAAGACGCAATACTTAACTGGATGGGTAAGTGATTCAGGCCCCCCCGGGGGGGGGGGGGTTTTGGATGCGTAGGTGATGTTTATTGCATTACATCACATGTTTCATTCTTTTTGGGCCGGCAATAACACGTTTTATTCAACAGCAGAATTTTATATATACTGTACTTTTTTATTTTAGTATTTAGGGTTAATATAATTTTTCCTCTCTCAAGTTGTCTTTATTTTAATTTTAGTCTCTTAAATTTCAAATTATAGATTTTAGTCATTTAACGTGTCAAGTGGTCCAGGTTTTTATTAAATTATGTGGTCTAATGTTTTAAATGAAAAAAAATTGAATGACCAAAAACTATAGTTTGAAATTTGAGGAGACAAAGCAGGAATGAGGACAAACTAGAGCGGTCAAAAATTATATTAACCCTTAATACTACCTACGATCCTTAGTATACGAGTTAATTTGATATCCAATTTGATACTAAATATAAGACTCAAATCATTTTTGTCTCTCATATTTATCTATTTTTTCAAGATAGTCCTTGTAGTGATTATAAATGTTAAAAATTTCATTAAATGATAATACTAGCTAATACACATAATTAGCAGGACTATTTAAAAAAACATATTTTTATTACAAATAATAAACTTAATTAATTTTTTTAATATTTTTAAATTAACTAATTAATTTTTATGTTAAAGACCGAAAGTAGTATATCGGACATGAAATACAAAAATATATACAGGAGGGAGGGAGGGAATTTGTTTCATTTATTTTACCCAAATAAATTTATAAAAAGGGTTAATGTCGGTGATTCTCACGGATTAACCAAATTTTTGTTATACAGCTTCAAATTATGATATTTACTTCGTTTATTATAAAATTATTCTTAAAATTATAGTTTTTTTTTTTATCTAAACATTTTTAGCGTCAACTAGAACATCTCATGCTCGTCACAAAAAGCCATGATTGTTGGCTGGCTTTCTATTTGCTTTTGTTCTTAAAATGCCAGGGGTATTATGATATTGAAAACACCATATCCAAAACGCGTATACATCATATAGTTCCACGTATCGTAATCAAATTTTCCTATCAGCCTCTTTTGATCATGTGATTTCCCATTACCTTCTCTTTTTTTATCTTGTCCATTTTTTTAATTTAAAATTCAAAATTACAGAAAAGAGCAGAACTTTTCCTCCATTCTATTTTGAAAGGTTTTTGAGTCCTGAGGTCGTTGCAATTTTCCCTCCCCCATTTTTTTCCTCCGAAGCGTTCAGATCCTCTCATAATCTTGTAAGTTTATTCTGAACATTACTGGTTGGTGAAGAAGAAAATGAAAAAAAAAAAAAGGGACCACTCCGGTGTTATTACTTATTATAAAAACATTTTTGTCCTAAATATAAATGATTTGTAAGGTATTTATTGATTTGCTTAATTTTACATTTATTTAATTCTCGGTTAAAAGTGAGAATCATTTGTGAATACAGAGAAAAATTTTAAAAATTTTATTAATTTAATGTTTTTTTAAATATATGAAAATGAGTAATGAGTGTTTTCACTTTTCAAGGACTGGAATTTTAAAAGTGTAGTCTTATATCAAAATTTTCAATTATATATAGTTGTGTACTTATTTGTATTATTTTTTATGTGAATTTCTAATTAAATCATAATATTTCAAACACAAAACATATGATTGTGTATATTTAGAAAACATAAAATAACGAATATAGATAACTTAATTTAATTATTATTTTTTAAAATGTGTGGTGGAAATATAAAATGGACAGTGTAAAATGTTAATAATAAAAATTTAATTTGGTCCGGACATTCAGATACGTGAGGCCTGACTTAACATACATGAAGTAAATATTCAAGACAGACAAACTGAACATAATAAATTAATATCCAAATTTTTATTAAAAAATGTGTCCATATTTATTTAATACCTGATAGTAATAATAAATGAGATGAAATAGGTCCACGGCCTATATTAACTTTCTATTCTGATTGAGAAAAGTTGAAGGGAGTGATAGGAATATTTCAGTCAGTTTTATTTTTTTAAAAAAATAGACATCATAAAATTTTAACAGAAGGAAAAATAAAAAAGAAAATTAATTAGAAATTTTCAACCGCATTTTTATTTTTTTTAAATTTAATAATCTTATAAAAAACATGTATAAAAATAATAATAACGTCTGTGAAATATAATTATATGGAGTAATTAAAAATAAATAATAATTACTTTTACAATTGTTAAATATTATCACTCTATAATAATGAAACTATAAATAACTATAAGATGGTGGTGTATGGAGGAGGCAGCCCCGTTACGGCGCCTCCGGTAAAAGACACGAAGTGTCATCTCAGTGAAGGGCAGCCAATTATGTCCATAATCCTGACACGTGGAGTGGGGACCACAGCTTTCCGCTTTCTAGATGCCTTTATTATTATTACTATTTTTTTTGCCCCAATTTTTCCTGGTAGCTCCAGATGCTGTTTCTGCCTTTCTTATCTATTCTTCCCATTTTTAAAATCCACCCACCGTTCACGTGAAGACAACTCCCGTTGACGTTGACACGTGCCATCCACATCGCTGCACATGCTTCTCATCCTCTCACCTTACTGGTCATCTTCGGCTTCTCTGCTCATTCGTGGGCTCTTCCTACCGGCTAAGCTCCCCTAGCTGCCCCTTTGTCTTAAACAAAAAAAATATTTATAATATATTATCTCCGTTTTTAATTATAAGATCTTATTTATAATTAAGATCGGAAACAGAATTATCCCCAGCAGTGTCAAATTGGCTCCTTCTCCAGATGGAACGCCGCCTATCTGCACTGCAACGTCTGGCTCTCGTTCATTCTTATCTTTTATTTTGGTCGTTATAATATGAGTTGCAGTGGCCAGCTAACTTAAAAACATTATTTTATACTTGATTTTTTTGGAATATTTATATCAATTAAATTATACGTTTGTATTTGCAAATTTTAGAATTAATTTAAACAATTTGTATTTAGTCTGACTCCCATCCTTTATCTTATTGTCTTCCAACTCGCCGCCCGAACTGCAAGT